TGACATCCTGCCAGGTTCTCCTCACTGCTCACTCCCAAGCCTTCCACAGCCTACCAGTCCTCACCAACTCCCACCTGGGCCCTCCCCTCTCCCCACACCTCAAAGAGGCCAGTGTTGGCATCAAAACAGCTAGGATACAGGATGGCATCCTCCCGCTGGTGGAAGCGGGCTATCTTTGCTTCCAGATCCTTGTGGATGCTCTAAAGAAACAGAGTGAAACAAGTGTTAATGCCTGCAGGGTCACCTGAAACAAGTCCTGGGGACAGAGGCTTAGAGGGTCACAGACTCATCACAGAAGGCCTACAGTCTTGGCCTCTCCCTTTTTTTTTATTATTATTATTTTTTAAGATTTTTATTTATTTATTTGACAGAGAGAGACACAGCGAGAGAGGGAACACAAGCAGGGGGGAGTGGAAGAGGGGGAAGCAGGCCTCCTGCTGAGCAGGGAGCCCGATGCGGGGCTCGATCCCAGGACCCTGGGATCATGACCTGAGCCGAAGGCAGATGCTTAACGACTGAGCCACCCAGGCGCCCCATTGGCCTCTCCCTTCTTTCTTCATCACAAGAGTTCCCCCAGAGTCAACAGGAACCTGGCAGATGGTTCTCACTGAGGAATCAGGGGCTCGCTCGGTGTCCCTTCCTGGTTGGCCCTTCGTTTGTAATGGGGAGACCCCACTGAGGGGTCCCAATGAGGAATTATGGGTGATGATGGCAAGGGAAGCTGTCTCCCCGACATCAAACTAAGTGCCTTTTTTGGTTGCTTAATGGCAAAGAAAAGGATTACGTAGGTTCCTTTGGGCCTCAAATTCTTATATTTGAAAGCTGTCCGGTCAGGGTGAGGGTTTTGTCAGAAAGTGCCCTGGCTGGGAGTTAGGAGTCCTGCTTCTGACATTCATTTCACCGTCCCTTTTCTGAGAAGATGGGTAGTAATAATCACAAGTAGTCAGGAGCCAAGCCACCTGGGTTAAACTCTTATCATAACAGGCGGTGTGCCCTAGAGTAAGTCACTTAATTTCTCCGGGCTTCGGCATCCTCATCTCTGTGACAGAGACAAGATCAGCACCTATCACTTACAACTGTTAGGAGCATTAATAAGTTAATATTTGTAGTGTTCTTAATATAGTACCTGGTACACAGTAAGCACTATAAGTTTCATATGTGTACGTTCATTTTGTAACATTCACACAATAAAATAATCGACGTTTATTGAGCACTTCTATGTGCCAGGCACTGTTCTAAGCATTTTTGCATGCCGGTGGGGGAAAGGGATGCTCTGAGAGGAAGTTTCTTTTGCAACACAACAGAAGCCTGAACCGGCCTTTCTGGTGGATAGCTCTAGGCTAAGAGTGGGCCCCAGGCCCTGGGATGAGCTGAGCTGGCTAAACCAGCCCTGTTGACTGTGGGAAGCAGGCAACTGGGGTCAGTGCCCAACACTGGGGACAAGGCACCCCCCCCCAAACCCCACAACAGCCTCTGTGTACCTGGGTCCCACAGATGAAGCGGGTAGAGCTAAGGCCGGCTCCAAACTCCTCCAGGGCCTGCAGACCTGCCTGGATCACCTCAGGGTGGCTGCTCAGGCCCAGGTAGTTGTTGGCACAGAAGTTAAGGATTCCTGAGGTGGAGGATGGTATGGACACAGCAGCTCAGGGCAAGAAAGGGCCTGGAAAAGCACCAGTGCCAGGCCCTGGGGACTTAGAGAGGAAACAACCCTGGATTCACCCTTGAGAAGGCAACAACCACACAGTATGACCCACTCTGGGGCAGAGGTCAGGATGGGGGAACTAGGGGCCCCTAGGAGGTACTGAATCCGACAGCTACAGGAGAGGGAGGGTCAGGAAAGGACCCTCAGAGTGGTGCCTTGAAGGATAAGAAGTTTAGACTCTGGCTCTGAATCACATTCTACCCATTGAGGAATGTAGCCCTACCTCACAGGTTTCTCCTGTCCCTGAAGACTACCAGCAACCCCTCATGTGGGCCTTGGCTCCCTTGTGGGTCAAAGAGAGCTGGCTCGGGTGCCCACCGTGGTCCTCAGACTCCACACAGTTGACTTTGCTGCCTGGTACAGAATCACGTGCCTAAAGTGTGTGGATGTGGGGGGTTTCTCTGAGACCTCAACTCCTGACTTACAAAGGGCAAAGTGAACACAGCTGACATGAGGGGGAAACTGAGGCCTGTAAAGGGCAAAAGCAAGATGAGAACCTCTGTCTCCTCATTTCCCATCTTTTGACCTGCTCCAAGCTTCCCCCAGGCGAGGGTGGGGAGGGAGGCAGAGATTTTTTGGGACCTCGGTTTACAAATGAGTACAACAGCCCCAAGGATCCCAGACCTATTTCCGGAGCAGAAGGCGGGTTTGGGAGCCTGTTTATAACCAGCACCACCTGGGGCCCCACACAGACAAGACAGGTGGTGACCACTGGTTACACAGGCATGAGGAAGGCCCAGTGGACCAATTCATGGTGTGACCCCTGCAGCAGCTGGTGGGCCCTTGCTCGCTGCGACTCTGGCCAGCAAGTTAGCTTCTCTGACCCGTTAGCTGACCTTCCAGCTCCAATATACAGGAGGACCCGGACCAAAGCCCGGGTCCGGGCTAGCAGGGACTTTTGGGCAAGCCATTTCACATCTCTGAGCCTCAGCTTCTGTGTCTGTACAATGGGAGTAGTTATTCCCGCGTTTGGAGGTTTGCAGGAGACCACGTGCAGCAGGTGGTGGAGTCCTGCACAAGAAGCAGCTCCAGAAATGCAGGGCTTCTCGCCGCCGCCTCCCACCACCCTTCCCTGAAGCGGCCCGGTGGGAGCCAGCTGGGTGCCTCTCTTTTTCTCTCACGTTCTCACAGGACCGGGTGTCACTCCAGCCCTAGCCTCTGAGTCAAGAAGGTGCTCAGCAGCAAATCACCTCCCTCCGTGGAAACAGGTTTAACAGGTTACAGTTAACCCTGGGAAGCCGTAAAGTCAGCCTGATGGATTGGGAAAGGGGCCAGCGGCTACGCGTGCAGATACTCCCACCCGCCCCCTGCCCCCTCCGCCCCCCCCCGCCCTCCATTCCAGCGCAGGCCCGGAACTAGGGTCTTCGAACACCCGGCCAGGTCCGACAACTCCCGGGAGGGGGTAGTTACCTCCCGAGACGCCGTCCACGTGGATGCGCGGCCCCTGACGGGACGTAATGACCCGCTCGCTCTTCCAGGTGCCAGCCTCGCGGATCGCTTCCAGCTCCTCCCCCAGGACGCCACGCAGCTGGGTCAGCGCCGACAGCGCGCGGCGGCCGCGGGGGACTGCGGACAAAGCAGCGTGGAGCACGCGACCGGCCCACATGGTGCCCACCATCACCCGAGCGCTCAGGCCGGCCCAAGGACAGTGCGCACGGCGGCCGCCGCCGGGTCCCGTGGGCCGGGGGAGGGCTGGGAGAGCGGGCCACGGCAGCCAATCGGAGCGAGAGGGGCGGGGAGGCGGGCCCAGCGGTGGGTGGGCGGGGCCTGGCGGGACCCGCAGAGGATGAAAACGGATTGGTGTCTAAGTTGAGACTGGAGCGCTCCGCGTGGGGGAAGGGGAGGCGACCCGGCGGAGGGTGGCGCGTCCCAGGGCCCAGCCCCGCAGACCCCCACACCCCCACCCTACTCCCATCCCCTGCCTACACACCCAGCGCTCGGAAGGAAAGGGGGTGCACCCTGGAGCCCAAAGGCAAGACCCTAGAAGCAGGCAGAGGCACGCTCTGTACTCTTCAGCCCCGTTTCCCGGAACCGTCCCCCATTCGCAGGTGCAAACGCCCCCAGGATTTCACCCCAGCCTGCCTGCCCGATTGCTCCGCATTCACCTCCAGCCTTAAAAGTGAGGGAAAATGCACTGCTCAAGTTTTTTTCATTTTTCAATTTTATTTTAAAGTTTTTAAAATTACAAAGACAGCAAATTCTTCCCGGCACAAATAAGACTTGTTTAAAAAAAAAAAAAAAGGAGGGGGGACCACGCGCAAGTGCGCATTTTCCTATATTATTAAAAATAAAAGACTGTACAGGTTTTTTTCTCCCAGCTCCCGGGTGTGAAACGTTAAGTACTAGCCCTAGATACGTATATATACATATACACACATACACACAGACCTAGCTCTGTGAAACTACTTAGCAATTCAAAATTGACTGCAGTATGTCTTACTGTCCACTCCCCACCCATTCCCCCTCCCCCATCTACAACTACTTTTTATAAAAGACTCAGAAGTAAAGACGTCGGGAGGTTTTTAAGTGGCAGCTGGCAGGGCTGAGCCCCACCAGGCCACCAAGCAAAACCACCTTTCTTATACAGGGGGAACCAAAAACCAGGGGAAAAGGAAAAAAGTCCTCCTATGATACAATCCAATTATGTGGAAAGACCCAAGTTTTAGTAGGGCACACTGAGGCACTTGGCTGACTAAATCCCCACCCTTCCCCCAAAGTTTCCACTCCCGTTTAACTTGAGACTTTCTGAAGCCACAAAGACCCCCAAATGGCTAGTTTCCAGCTGACTGAGAGAAGCCACCGCTTCCCAGACCAGCTGTCACTTTGACCCCCCCTTTCCCTTCCCTAGGACAATAGGGAGGCCACAGGGGCACACCAACAGTGAGAAGGAAACTGGATTTGGACCCCCCACTGCTCACTATTGGAAGGTGGAAGTCAGCCCGGAGAGTGTTTTTTCCCCACCTCCCTCATCTGCCATCCAGCTGCTGCCACCCCTCCCTTCTCCCCACCAAGGTTCTGGAACTCTCACAAGGGGTGTGCAACCTAGAGAAGGCTGGCTCACCTTAAAGATACTCCTACAAACCTTACCATTTCCGGGCTCCCCCTCATCTAGTTGGAACCAGCGGCCTTGCCCATTCTCTCCCACCCCTTTACCTTCATATTGAACAAACCATCCAACCAAACAAAACACACAAACCCACCCAAGACCCTAAACCCATTAAGTAGATTAATAACAAGTCAACGAAATAAAATATAAGTACATTCTCATCATTAGAGATGAGATTTGTTGTTGCTGTCCTTGCACGATTGGTTAAGGAAAAACGAATTATTCCCTAATTTCTGAGGAATCCAAATTCTCTTATGAAGTCAGAATAGAAAGGGGCAAAGGACTGCAGATGAAGATCAAGAGGGAAGAAAAGAGAAAAGTATTTACAGAAAATAGGAGACAGGCAGGAATGTCCACAAGAAAAGCCTCATTGTCACTTCTTCTTGCTGGCCCTCTTGGCACTGGACTTGGCTTTGGGTTTCACTGGTTTGCCCTTCTTAGGCTTGGATGCCTTGACTGGCTTGGCCTTGACAGTCTTGGGTTTTTTGGTTTTCTTGGGCGTGGCAGCCGGCTTCTTCTTGGCCTTCTTGACTGGGGTGGCTTTGGGCTTCTTGCTTGGGGCTTTGGAAGCAGCCTTCTTGGGCTTGGCTGCCTTCTTTGGCGTGGCCACCTTCTTGACTTCCTTCTTCGTCTTCTTGAAGGCCACTGACCTCTTGGGCTCGTCGCTTTTGGCCAGCCGGAAGGACCCTGAGGCACCCACCCCTTTGGTCTGCTTGAGGACCCCAGTGGTGACCAGGCGTTTGATGGACAACTTGATCTGCGAGTCGGCGTTCTCACCCACCTTGTAGTGGCTCTTGATGTACTTCTGGATGGACTGGCGCGAGGAGCCAGCGCGGTTCTTCTCCGCCTGGATGGCAGCCACGATCATGTCTGAATACTTGGGGTGGTCTGTGGACTTCTTGGAGGCCTTGGCCCGCTTGGGCTTGGCCGCAGGGGTGGACGTGGAATTCTCGGTCATGGTGGCCTGTCTGGTCCTGCTGTTGAAGGAGGCGCCTTCAAAAGGGCCAGCCCTCGTCGGAGGCCCAGGAAAGCCTTACTCGGGATCTGCTCTGGCGCTCCTCCTGACTCCCGGGCCAGTCCGGGGCCCGGCTCTCAGGGACCTGGCTCGGGTCGCGGGAGGACTCGCCGGGCCGGCTCTGTGTGGCCCAGCCCCGGCGGTCTGTCGGTCGGTCTCGGCGCCCGGCTGCGGCTCCGGCTCGGGCTCGGGATCAGGCTCGGGCTCGGGCTCTGCCTCCGCCTCCGCCTCCTCTGCCTCCCTTTTCCCAGCTCGGCGTCTGGCGCTCGGGCGGCGCATCCGGGTATTTAGCGGCGGCGGGCGGACCGCGGTGAGGACAGGGCTGCTGGCTGCCTGCTCCCGGCCCGGAATGGCGCCGCGCCGCCGCCATCTGTGTTTCTTCCGCCGAGCAAATCCGACCTTTACCCCCGGCCCGGGCCTTCCCGCTCCCCGCCGCCGCCCGGGACCGCTGCCTGGCTCCCTGGGCTCCCCCGCCGGGCATCCCGCCGGCCCGGCCGCCGCCCCCCGCGCCCGCCACGCGCCCCAAACGGCGCCGAGGACCGCTGGTGCGCCTGCACATTTCCCCTTTGCGGGGGGCTGGCTCTGCGGGGCCGGGGAGCCCGGGTGCAGGAAACCCCCCGTAGCAAAGCTCCCCCCTGGGGCTACCGGAGACCCCGCTCCCGGCCCGCGGCGGGACCCCCCAGCCCGGCAGAGCGGCTGGAAAGCGGCCCCAACTAACACACGCTGCCCCGAGCCGGGCGACTCCCAGCCGGGCCGAGCCGGGACAGGGGGGAGGGGTCGCTCCCCCGGGGTCCGGTCACCTCTCGGGGGTCATCCCGCCACCGGGCCCCCCGTACCTCTACCTCTTCTCTGTCCTTGGGGCCCCTAAGCAAACTTTCCCTGGAAGAGTTGGAAGGGCACTTTCAAACTTTGTCCCTTCCCCCTCCTCTGCCGGCTCTCCCCCAGCGTGCCCCCTGACCTCTGTGTGGAGGTTCTTTCCTGAGGCCGAACCCCCACTACTGCCCGGGACCCTGGAGGGAATGAGGAGAGGTCTCCCGAGTTCTCTCCTTTCCTCAAAGACCCCCACATCGCCCATATATCCTAATCGGGAATTCATTTATATGCCTCTCTCAGCCTAGGAGTTTCGGGGTCTCAGAGGCAGAACCTTGCTGCCCCCACCCCTGAGGCAACCCTGGGGGTCAAGTCCCCCTCCCAAGATCCCTTGAAGGCAGTGTGTGGGGGGGTCTGCAATGGAGGGACTGTCACAAAGGCTCCAACAAGAGGCTTGTCCTGGGGGCCCCTGGGATGAAGAGAGGCCCTGAGTGCTTTGGGAACTTGGGAAAACGGGGCTCTGGGGGAGAGGTGGAGGAGGGGGTCGCGTTCCTTGGGTCCTGACTAATCCTCGGAAAGTGTGCAGTTGTTCAGGGAGCGGTGGCTGGGACCACCGCCATTTTGCTGGGAGGATGCGATGTCTTTGTTAAAATGTATACATCTTTTCCGTGCTGCTTGGCAGGTACAGATGAGGCGAACAAGGGGCGTCACCGTCTGAAGGGAGTCTTGAGGGGCTCCGAGGGACTTTAGGGGCCCAGAGGCCAGCAGAAGGGACCCCAGAGTTCCTGGGACCCCTTGTCAATGACACACAACCTAATCACGTGCAGGGCCCGCTTGGCTGGGACCCTGGGTTGAGATTCTGGGATGCTCCCTCCCTAAGCCCCCTCCCACAACAAACCCGCTTTTATTCCCTAAGCAAAGAGGCAGGGCACTCTTCATTTAAACAATACCTTGGGAGTGAGGGTTTATAGCTGGTCAAAATGATGAACGTGTCTCTGGTATGGTCCGGGAGCTGTTTGCAGACACTGGCTGTTGGGGAGGGGAGAGGGGGATGGTTGGAGGGTTTAGGTGGGGGGTGGGGGGTCGTAGCTACCGTTGGGGGGTAAGGGCTCCTACTGGACTTGAGGAGTCTCTGAGGCCAGGGAAATTACTAGGTTTCCCCCACAAACACCAAGGGATGGATTAATCCAAATGATTGGGAGGCGGGAGAGGGAGGCCTGAGACTCTCTACCAGATGCCTTCTCCACGGCTTATTTTGGTGGCACAGGCAGAGAAGGGAAGCCACGAAGGGCCAGGTTAGTTCAAAAGGTCAAGGTTCTTATTTGGATGATGTCAATTACCCCGAAGTTTCCTGATTTGAAAACACAACATTCTGGTGGATTTGTTTTAGTTATTTACAAAGACAATTCTGGTTCCCACTAAGATCTGGAGGGGGAAGTAGGCAATCCAAATAGCCACCCCTGGGTCTGAGATGTGTACACCCCCCCACCCACGCCACGGTCCTGGGTGTCTTAAAATAAGGACTAGATGAATCCTTTGGCACGATGATGAAACAATTTCATTTACACAACGCCTTATAGTTGGCAAAGTGCTTGCTCTCCACTCATTTCTTGATTCTTTGCGCCTCCAGCCTAGGGAGGCAGCCAACGTGATCACTCCCCCGATTATCCCCGTTTTACCGTGGAAGCTGCGGGATTCGGAAGGATAGATAATGGGGGCGCACTGTAAGGCTCAGCTCCCTGCGCCCCCAGGTCTTCCCTTCATTTTGTAGCCTCACATCCCATATCCCTGCCCATCCCAGAGACCTGTAAATTCTCTCCCGGAACTGAAGCCAGAAATGGAGGGATGGGTGGCCTCGGAGTCGCGGGGGCTTCCCTCCGCGGCGGGATTCACCGCCCAAACCCCCCGCCGCAGTTAGGGAGAATTGGAGAAGGGAGGGGGCCGGGAGTTGGGCGCAGAGTCCGAGATCAAGGGGGACAAGATGAGGAAAGCCTGCCTCCAGATTGGCTTGGCCTCACCTCGCCTGGCTGACACTGCAGGGCCTGGGGGCTTCTTGACTCCGGCCGGGCACCCCCACAGGCGGCTCCCCGGTCCGCACCAAGCGCCAAGCCGTTTTCCGGCTTACCGACTGCGAAACTCTCCCCCTCCCCCCGCCCCCTTTTACGCGAGCCCTTTAAAAACCCGGGAGCCACAGAGCTGCAGGCAACTCCTCCTGGGAAATGTAGTCCCCCCCGGCGCCGAGCCCCAGCATTCTTCCCCCATCCCCCTTCCGCCCCCGGGCGCGGGGAGGGGGTCAGACATCATCTGTCCAGTCACGCGGGGAGGGGCCCAGGCCTCCCCGCTGTTATTCCACCTGTCAAAAAAGGCTTCAGTGTTTCCACCTGTAAAAAGGTGAAAGGCCATCATCTGTCCTATCTACCTCTGGGGTTGTTGTGTGTGAGTGTGGAATGAAATCCTGTATGGAAAAGTGTAAATTGCATTAGAATGCCAGGGGTCAAGTTTTTCTAATGTTCATATGCTTGCACGTGCCAGCTTTTATTAAGCCCTTGGTACACACATAGTATCTTCATTTTTCAGAGAGGAGGTCTAGAATGACTGAATGACTTGTCCAAGGTGGGTCAGCCTGAAGGAGGGTGGGAGGGTGACACTCCCAAGCCAATGACTCCCACTGCACCACCTGTGCAGGACATGCACTCATTCTGGGCTTTGGAACCTTAGGGTATTCACTTGATAAAATGCCCCACACTGGGGTAGTCACTGGGATATGGCCGTGAACAAGGGATAACAGATTCCTGCCCTTGTGGAGCTGACATTCTAGTTGAAAAGATAGATAAGCAATAGACCAGATAAAGAAGTCAATTATCCAGTGTGTTGGAAGGCCATAATTGCAAAGACAAAATTAGAGCAGGATAAGGGGGAGGTGATGGGGCAGTGGTAAAAGGACGTGGTTTGCAATTTTCAATGGGGTGGTCAGAGAAGCCCTCATTAAGAAGCTGACATGTATTAAAAAAAAAAAAAAGAAGAAGCTGACATGTGAGCAAAGATTCAAAGGGGGTGAGGGAAGGAGCCATTCTTATTCCTGGAGGAAAAATCTTCCAAGCAATGGGAACAGCCCGTGCAAAGTCCCTGTGGCGGGAGTGTACAAGGTGGCTGAATTAAGGGGGACAGCAGGAGAAGATGAATTTTTAAAAGGTAAGAGCTGGGGAGAAGTGAAGGAGGCACAGGTCACCTGGGGGTTTGTGGGGCTTTGGCTCTTACTTGAGTGAGATGGGAGCCATGGGAGAGTTTTGAGTGGAGGAGGACATGATGGGACCCACAGACAATGGTCAAGCCCGGTTAACTCTGGTTGCTGTGTGAAGAGGCTGCAGAGGGCAAAGACAGAAGCAGGGTGAGGAGGTGGTTGTGATAATCCGGGTGAGCGGTAACGGTAATTTGGCCCAGGTGGCAGCAGTGGAGGGGATGAGAAGTGGTCAGGTCTTAGGGCACCCCAAGGACTTTGGCTTGAACACTGGGAGAAAAAGCTGTCGTGAACTGAGGGGGGGAAGACTGAAGGCAGAGCAACTCCGAGGGGTCTGGCTGGGTTAGGTTGGAGATGTCTCCCAGATGGGTGAGCGGAGATGCCGAGAAGGCAGGTGAATAGGAGAATCCTAATTCTGCAGGGAGAGAGTCTGAGGTCTCAGATGCACATTTGGGAGCTGTCAGCAGACGGCTGGCAATTAAAGGATGAGATCAGAGGGAGAGCAGACAGGAAGACAGCAAGGACCGGGCCTGGGGCTACTGACAGGACGAGGTGGGAGTGAGGAGGAGGCACCAGCAGAGGGGACCAAGAAGGAGCCGCCAGAGAGTTGAAAGGCAAACCCGGGGAGGAGGGGTGTCCCGGAGGCCAGGGAGGAAGGAGAGTGTATCAAGGGTGGGGAGGGAGAGGCCACCTGTCCAATGCCACAAGCCAGGGCAGCAAAAGCCATCACCTGGAGAATGAGAATGGGTGACCAGAAGATCTCCCAGAGCCCTTCCAGCTCCCTGGGACACAGGTAGGTCTGGGGGCGGAGGGTGGGGAGTCGGGCCACAGGTTCGGCCCCCAGCTTTTAAACATCTTTCCTTCAAGGACAAGAGGAAATAAGAGCCTTGGCAAGAGGCCGGAGGTGAGGGAAGATTTCCCAGAAGAGGACACAGGAGCTGGGCTTTGAAGGAGAAACAGCATTTCCACAGGTAATGGGGGCGGCCAGTTGGTGGAACAGCGGGAGTGGAGGCGTGGCCAGGGGCCCGCAGGTGACTGTACAGGCAGAAGTGAGGTGACTGAGCGGCTCAAGCAGAGATCCAGGCGGAGTGGGATCCAGGCCTCACAGCTGGGCAGAGGGGGCATGGAATGTTTTTGCGCAGGGGAAGCGGTGCGTGTGACACGATCAGGTTGGCATTTCTATCATGTATGTAGGTAAGTAAGTAA